GTGTGTGGGACTTATCTGATTTTATCTTGGCAGTTCAACATTCACGAGAGGTGAGTCTCTTCACCATACCAATGGGTCCAATGAACCAAGTGTTGGGTTTTGAGCATTCTAACACTCCTATGGTGTACATGCAACCCTAGAAACCTTGGATCTATGTTTTCTCTAATATACATGTAAATTTGATTTTCCAAGGTTTACATCCTAACTAGCATGTTTATGGGGAACTTGTAATACAAAAATCAAGTAGAATAACATACATTTTAGTAGCTTGGATTCCTTGATGACTTTGTGAGCCTAGCACCCCAAATGTGATGCCTCAAATGCTTCACACAACACCACAAAACTTAGAATAACTTGAGAGAAGTTCACTATCACACAAAATCGGCTTGCCCTCTTGTTCTTACACTAAGTGGTCCGATTTTGCTAGTCAATGGGTCCTTTTATAGTTGTGTCACAAGTAGGGTTACCACATGTAAACCCTAATTGACATAGATTTTCATTTCCCATGATCCATGGGTTTATAACCCTCATGGACTATCCATGGAGCACCTTATGGGTTTTAGCCCAACTCTATAAACCATGGATCATTAGCCCACTATATAAGAATGGATGGTTTACACAATCAACCCCATATATTTAATTAGTCTCCTTTTGATCACCAAATTAATTCTAAATTAATTCTTGACCAATACTAATTAAATAATATTATTAATATATTAGAACTTATAATATATTAATAAACCTTAAGTGTCATTTTTCTCATTTTGTCTATCCAAGTGTTGCAATGCCATGCAACCCAAATGGACCATGTCGGGTCGGGTCAAGTACATACCAAATATAGTTATGGACTTAGACACTATATCCAACACCAAGGCCGGTCCATTTTGTGATATGTGGTACACCAGCAGAAGTAGAGATATATGGTATGATAGTTAGCTTTATGCTAAGTGGTATGCTAGTGATTATATGATACTTGCAGTTAAGACCATGGGGGGAGCCCATGACACTTGGATATAAGACCATGTGGGGGAGCCCATGGCTTGTAAGTTAAAGACCATGGGGGGAGCCCATGGCAGTCAGATGAAAGACAATGTGGGGGAGCCCATGGCTTATCAGTTAAATACCATGGGGGGAGCCCATGACACTTTGGTATAAGACCATGTGGGGGAGCCCATGACATCATTATATGTTTGTATGCATGGCTTATGTGATATATGTAGCTTTTATAGCTAATATGATATGTGGATTGTGGATTGTGTGTGGGGTATGCTCTGGGGAACTCACTAAGCATCAGCTTACAATTTATGGATTTGTTTCAGGTACATCTGAGCCCAAGGGCAAGGGCAAGGCTTGATGGTGCGGCGTGCACTCTCTCTCAAGTGTTTTGATGGGACACTCTGATGTTTTGAAATAAAATTGTTATTGTTACGAATTTGAAAACAATTGTATTGAGATTTTATGGTTTATGGAAAAGTGTTTTGGCTGATTAAAAATGAAAATTTTCTTTTGAAAATTGGGTCGTTTCATAAGGCTCTGATACCAACTTGTAACATCCATAAAAATCAGGCCAATTTAAAACATTTTCAACCATTCAAAACCATTAAGTTATTACAAAGTGTTTTCAAAATAGTTTAGATATCAGAGTATCGCAAAAATCAAGATCATAAAAATGAGAGGAGGTGCACGATCACGCCTTCGACTTCCCGCGATCATCTGAAGTACCTGAAAGAAAATCCAAAACTGTAAGCCCGAAGCTTAGTGAGTCCCCCAAAATACCCATACACATAACAATATACACATAATCACAAACAGCATACTATGGGCCCAATCAACCATCGGGTTGGAATACCCCAGGCCCTCAACCATCGGGTTGGAATACCAACATACTATGGGTCCAGTCATCCTGGGGATTGTATACCCTCGACCCATAACCATCGGGTTGGAATCCCACATACTACGAGTCCAATCATCCACGGGATGGAATACTTACGGCCCACAATCATCGGGTTGGAATGCCCAGGTTTGTCGGCTCTCGCAAAAAGTAGATAAGGCTCAACCACTAATCAAACATGTGCACATATATCAGATAATCACATTATAGTCTATAGACAGACAAACCGATCTAACAGATCATACGATACTCGAGCATATAACATATCAAGATAACAACCCAAAAAGGGTCGGCCTTGGTGCCTTAGACCCTTGAGTATAGTGAGGAAAACTCACCTCACAATGTCAAACTGTAGTGATAAGATCAAACTCTCGAATCACAGCCACAAACTCCACCACCTATATTCACCATAGGACCACTTCTATAAATTCCTAATTTACTAAAATACCCCCCAGAAGTCAAACTGGTCAACCCTTGTTCAAAGTCAAAGTCAACGGTCAAGGTCAACAGTCCATGTTGACCCAACTTGTCGAGTGCAGCTCACTGACTCGTCGAGTCCTTCCAGAACTCAAGATATCGTGAAGCCCCTAGTTGACTCGCCGAGTTTCCAACCAACTCGTCAAGTCCATGCGTGTCCAAATGTCGGGAAAACCCTAACTGACTCGTCGAGTCGTCTTACTGACTCGCCGATTCCATGCAGAAACCCACAACGGTCAATCTTCATCCGACTCGTCGAGTTGACCAAGCAACTCGTCGAGTCCCTTTAGTCAATTTCTCATTCAGACGTTTTTAAGCTACCCCAAAGCTCCAAATTGCAGATCTAACCTCCTAGGGCATGGTTTCCACATAAAGTTGCAAACTTTACGTACATGCATGGTCCTAAATGCCAAAACCAAACTAAGGGAAATGTTTAACCCAAAGAGAAGGGCCAATGTTTGCTAAATCTGATAACTTTATGACTATAGGGACCAGTAGGAGTCCAGATCTGAAGTTACAACTTCAGATCATGCCCAAAACCCGAATTGACTCACAATATGCTAAAATGGCCCTAAACCTATGCATGGATATATATAGCTAAAGATAAGCCAAGGTAACGACTTGTTACCTTCCAGATGATGCCAAGATGAAGTAGAGTCAGATCCACAAGCTTCTCTTTGCTCCAAGCTCCTTAGACTTCAAGCCTTCTTCACAAAATGCAGCAAAAGCACTCTTTAAGTCTCATAAACACTCAAGAACAAAGCTTAGACTGATTAGGGTTCCTTCTGGCCGTCAAAAAGTGGTAAGGGGCTAGAGGAAATGACTTAAGGTCCTTTAAATAGGGTGCAAACCCTAAAAATTAGGGTTTCCATGCACAACCCCTACTCGTCGATTCGGGGTTCTCCGACTCGTCAAGTACGAGTCATAAACCACGCGGGCCAACTAGGTTCGACACGACTAGTTGGGGCCTCCAACTCGTCGAGTTCCCTCAGTAAAATGAATATAAAGCTTTTGAAAATGATACCTTAGAGTCGAGGTGTTACATAACTGTTTTCTAAAATATAAACCTTAAAATAGTAATCTTGTAAATATGAATTATAAACCAAAAAATACATCAAAATATGTGTTTTCTATAATTTTCAAACAATTAGTCTTTTAAGTAACATGTAACATTGGAACACACACACACACACACAGATATATATATATATATATATATATATATATATATATATATATATATATATATATGTGTGTGTGTGTGTGTGTGTGTGTGAGAATTTACATATAACTTGGAGAATACAACAATAACTATGGTGCAAACTTTTTCATCTTATTTTTTCTAAGATTATTTGCATTTATTATCAAATTCAATGTATTTAATACATTATATTTATATTTTTTCTAAGTTTCTTTGTATTTATTATCATATTCCAATATATTTAATATATTATATATAAAGGGGTTGGTTAAAGAGACACTTCATTTGACTATTTAGACAACAAATGATAATTAGAGAACTAAATCGTGATAATGTTTTATATTTTTTACATAATGATTATATAATGATTATACACTTTTGACTTTTTAACTATATAATTATTATTTGTTATTTCCAACTAATCATTTATATTAACTTTTTATTTTAAATGATATTTTATAATTAATATTAACAAAAATATTTTTTTAGGGATTATGACCCAAATAGACATTTTCTGGGAGTGTTTTCCAAAATATAGACATAAAAAATGATCTTTCCACATATAGACGTGGATTCCGCAAAGCTACCTTCGAGGGCTCCGCGGGATGAACTTATGCTCCGAGTAATCGATGTGGCAAAAAAAATATAGTTCCGCGGAGCTCCCTCTAAGAAATGAAGGTTGAAGAACAGTTCCGCGGAGCTCCCTCTGAGGAATCGATCTTTAGTTTTTTTTTCACATCGATTTCTCGAAGGTAAAGTTTATTCCGCGGAGCCCTCGGAGGTAGCTCTGCGGAATCCATGTTTATATGTGGAAAATGTCTTTTTATGTCTATATTTTGGAAAACACCCTCAAAATATATTTTGTTTGGATCGTAGTCCTTTTTTTATCTTATCTGCGTCATCTTCTTTTTTTACAGTAACAAATTTTTTTGTTGACAAAATTGCAAAAATAGTCCATGTGGTATGCAAAATTTTGGGGTTTTAGTCCAAACCACGACTTTTTTGGATTGGTGGTCATTTTGAGCTAGTTTCTTTGCGTTTTTGGTCCCTCAGTAAACTGAAAAGACTATTATGCCCTTATGATATATTTTTTTATGCTTTTTCTATTTAATTTAAATGAAAAATAAAATAATTACCTAATTTGGGGCCCACCTCTCTCTATCTCTCTCTCTCTCTCTCTCCAGTTTTTTGTGAAATCCAAAAGGAGTCAACACCCTCCTAGTCCTCCAATCAACCCTACTGCCTTTCTTTTTGGCTGCACTGTCAAGAAACGACACCACTATTGGTGGTCTTGAACCACCATATTACACCACCAAACATCATCCAACCTTATCTTTCTACACTTTTCCTCTCGAAGACCTGCTGCTCATAAAACGAAGAAGGGAATAAGAACCGCTAAGGGCAGCCACCCACGACTACCCACCGTCGCTAATGTTGTGGAGTTCCGGCCATCACCGCCACCACCAAGTTGCTGTTGTCAGGGCACTCCAACCATCACTAGTCATCGAATTAGATCACCACCAATCCCCGTAGAGGGTAAGTCGTAAACAAAGCAACAAAAGCTGCCGGAACTCCACCACTTGCCTACATCATCGCTCAGTGCCACCACGTCTCCGTTACTGTGAAGCTCCGCCGTCGTCAGCTGCTGCTTCCTCTTGACCCCTCGTCGAACTCATCAGAGCAGCAAGAAAATGAAGCAGTCGGAGCTACCGTCGACCGCCATTACATCCCACCACCACTGCAGTCTGCCACTATCGCCTTGCTGCCATTGGTAAGTCTGTTTAAGATCGTATGTTTCTCATGACAGTAAATCCTTGAAACCCGATTATATGAGCCAATGATAATCAATGAAGTAGATCGATGGAGAAAATCTTCATCCTTGGTGGCAGAGAACAGAGCAAATATGAAGTTCTAATTCCATCATCTTCTTCTGATTTCATCCCTAACCCAAATCGAGTTTCTTTTGGGTTTAAAGTCGTCCCACCGGATACCTGCATCTGGATCTGTGGGCGGTGACAGGTGGTGGTGGGGACTGCCCACCACAACAACGGCGGTGAGTAGTGGTAGCACAACAGCTTCGTTGCTTCCGTCTTCCTAATACAACGGTGATCGAAGAGGAAAAAAGGAGCAAGGATTGGGGTTTGTTTGGGGTTGCTCAGATCAACATAAAAGAAAAAGAGATGGGGTCGAATGGAGGCTAGCAGGTGGTGCGGTGGCTATCTCCAGATTGCCGGAGGTAGCAGCCCCTTCTTGTTCGTTGAAATCGGGAACGAAAGAAAGAAATGGGTATACGACCCAGAGAGAGAGAGAGAGAGAGAGAGACTTTTATTTTTTTAATTAGTTAAATAAATAAATAAGTATTTAGATTTTTAAAAAATGAAAGAAATGAAAAATAAATAACCTAAGGGTATTACGGTCATTTCATTATTTAGAGGGACCCAAAATGCAATGAAACTAACTCAAAAAGACCATCAATCCAAAAAAGTCGTGGTTTGGACTAAAACCCCAAAAATTTACATAACGCAGGGACATTTTTGCAATTTTGTCTTTTTTATTTTTTAAACTATGTGTCTCACATACATTAATTCATAAATATTTATTTCTAAAGGTTGTTTTTATACTACAAAAATAATAAACACTATTAATAAATACATTAATAAAGCTTGTTTTAATTAATTTACGTATATACCTACCTACTATGAGTGTTTAATCATTTTTATTAAATTTATAATCTAATTATTATATAACTATATAATTATTATTTGTTATTTCCAAATAATCATTTTTATTAATTTTTTATTTTAAATGATATTTTATAATAAATATTAACAAACATTTTTTTTATCCTATTTACGTCATCCTTTTTTACATTTTTTGTTTTTTAACTTATGTGTCTCACATACATTAATTCAATAATATTTCTAAAGTTTGTTTTTTAACTTATGTGTCTCACATACGTTAATTCAATAACTTATGTGTCTCACATACGTTATCTTATTTCTAAAGTTTGTTTTGATACTATAAAAACAAAGTTATTAAAAATTTAATCGAAATTTAAAAAATAAGTGTGTTTTTATAATATACATTTACAATTAAATAATAGGTAGATATTAACTAATATCCATATCAAAATGAAAGTTACATAATTTTTATATTATCTAATAATTAAAAAATAAATACATAAACACAAAAATATGAGACAAAATTTTATCATTTAATAATCATCTAATTTACAATTCTTTAAATACGAGACATAAATAATATTCTTTAACAATCCTCTATAGTTATAAAATCACGATTACAAGGTTTCAATTGTCTATAAAATTGCAGACGTGACATAAAAATCATTTTTCATCCTGCTGCACACATGACTCTGTGACGGATCCAGTAAGACGAAATGGTAGGCTTCAGACAATCTTCTAATTGTACCATAATATAATGATTATCATCAGGGTCGACCCTGAGATTTTGGAGACCCTGTGCGATTTAACAAAAATAGGCCCTAAATTTTGAAAGACCTCAAAATATAAGCAAAAAAAATTAATATTTTAATTTTCTATTGCAAATACATAAAATTAAAATTTCATTCAAAATAATACACAGAAAAAACATTGGCTTCTACTTGAAAAGAGCTATCCTCCTAATATTTGTTGAAATAAATTTTTCAATAATATCTTCATAAGTAACTTTATCCAACATGTTACGTTCAATCGTCATCAAAGTCAATCCATTAAGTCGTTCTTGAGTCATTGTAGATCGTAAGTAGGACTTTAAAATCTTCAATTTTGAAAAACTCCGTTCTGCAGATGTAATAGTAACAGGAATAGTCAACATAATTATATATATATATATATATATATATATATATATATATATATATATATATATGCAATAGATGTAATAGGAAAACAATCAACACGTTTTAAAAAATTTAGAATATCAATTGCTATCATTTTTTCCTTAGGCAAGAGATGTAAAAGTAATTTTAATTCAACATATAATTCATTTCCATCAATATCCGATTGTTCATCTTTCTTGAGTGAAGTTTCAAGAGATTTACAACAAGACTTTAATGTAATATCATCTAATGAAAGCAATTTTTCTGAATTAAACAAAAAACCAAATATTTTATCATATTGTTGATATTGTTCAAACCTTGTAGTTAAAGAAATAATTGCTTGATCAACAATATAAATAAAATATTTAACTCTAAATTTCTCTTGTGTGGATTGTGAAGCAATACAAGAAGTATCGTTTGAAATTTCATCAAAATGTTTTTTTTTTTTATTTTAGGTTCACGTTTTTTAGGAAATATTGGATCAATGCCCATTTCCAAGGCAATATATTTTGCAGTTTCTAAAGCATTTAAAAACTCATTTTCTCTATATTCCTTAAAAAATAAAATCAACCCCTTTATTTTTTCCGTAGCAACATCAATAAGCATATCTTTTGATTGCAAGTATTTGCTAACTAAGTTAACAATATTTAGCATTTCATACCAAATTATTAATGCCAATATAAACTCAAAGTTACCAAGTTCATTTTTTGCTAAGGATTTAGCTTCGCTTGTTATTTTTGGATCATTATCATTTTTGGCTACTTAAAGTAAAGCTTTTTGTATATCAAAATTTTGAAATCTTATAGCTTTAACACTATCAACACGACTCTCTCAACGAGTGGATGACAAAGATTTAGGAGTTAACCCTTTCACATTATCTTTTAAAATTTGCCATCTCTTAGTGGAATTTGTAAAAATTGTAAAGATACGTCGTATTGTTCCAAAAAAACCTTTAACTTTACCACAAGTATTAGCCATATCACACAAAGTTAAGTTCAAACTATGACAACCACAAGGAGTATAAAAAGCTCTAGAATTTATATCTAAAAGTTTTTTATGCACTCATTGATGTTTTCCTTTCATATTTGATCAATTATCATAACCTTGTCCACGTACATTATTAATGTCAAGATCAAGCAGATTCAATTCATTTTGTAAAACATAAAAAAGTCCTTGTCCGGTTGTATCATTTACATCTAAAAACCCTAAAAAAGATTCTTCAATGCAAACAACATTTGATGAGACATCCACATATCTTAAAATAATAGTCATTTGCTCTTGGTGACTTATATCGGGAGTACAATCAAGTATTATAGAAAAATATTTTGCATTTTTTATCTTTTTAATAATCATAGATTTTATTTCTGAAGAAAGCAAAAGAATTAATTCATTTTGTATCCTATGCCCAAGATAATGTTTATGGATACCAATTTCATATGTAATACGTTGTATATGATCATAAAAAACCATGTCAAATTCATCCAACATTTCAAATAATCCTAAAAAATTTCCATTGTTATCTTCATACAACTTCTCATTAGTACCACGAAAAGCAAGATTATGTTTAACAAGAAATTTCACAATAGATATAATTGTCAACAAAACTTGTCTCCAATGAACTTTTTCTTTTTCTAATTGTTTTTGAGCTGCATTATCGATAATTTTATTTTTTTGTAATCTTAAACGTAAATCATACCAAGTATTTATATATTTAATATGTTCCATACTTGTTTCATGCTCTTTAATTCTAGTGTTAAGATGTATCAAATCACTAAAACCCTCATTTGCTAATTGACATTTTCCACACCCTTTTCGAAATATTTTACAACAAAAACAAAAAAAATTTATCAATTTTTTTAGAATAAACAAGCCAATCTCTATCACATTTTTCCCCATTTGGTAAAGTTTTTGTAAATATGTTGCAGAAAATCTTCTTAAATATTTATCTTTAGGACCTTTTATAACGGATAAATCCTTTTAAGACCTTTCAATGCTAAAATATTTATCATGTTAGAATCAAGAGCATCCCAATTTCTTGGATCAAATATATCAAAAGTGTGAAAATCAACATTATTATCAACATCAACATCAACATTAGCATTATCATTAACATCAACATTATCATCAACATCAACATTAGCATTATCATTAATATCAACGTTATCATTAACATTATTATTAACATTAGCATCAACATTATCATTATCATCAAGATTAGCTTCATTAACAGTTTGTGTTTCATTTTCCGAAAAGTTTTGTGTTTTTTTTTGTTATAAACTTATCCATAGATCCTGCTTGAGTTTTATTATCTTCTTTAATTTTTTGTTTCTTCTTACGTTTTTCATATCCAGATGCATATTTTTTTAATCTAGGAGGCATTGCAAATTGTATAAAAGAAAGAAACGACCTTTTTTGTGATTTGTAGATTTCTTCTTGGTTCTAGAATTTCAACACTTCAAATCAACAAGAAAGCCAGAAAGGGTATCAAAACTGTAAAAAAAACATAATCCAAATTCCAAACAGCATGATATATTTCAATATCAGAAACCAAAATCAGAAACAAATTCAGAAACCTGAAATCAAAAAAGAAACCAGAATTTGCTTGTACCTTCAAAATTTAGAAACTAATTTCCTCACTTCCTTGTTTCTTCTGAGTTCTGTCTTACGAATTTAGAATCAGAAACCACCTTCAAACTTAGAAACGGATTTAGAAATTTAGAAAGCAGAATATGAGAAGAAAAAAAATCTGATTAGAATTTAGAAATATAAAACTAAACACTTATTATTAACAATTAACAAATAAGAAATCCATGAAAAAAATAAGAAATGCCTTAATGTTACCTTCTAATTTCGAAAGTCTAAACCTCAAGCAAATTGTTGTATGTAGATTGTTTCTAATTTCAAAAATTGAAACATTTTGATTTCGAATTCGAAACCTCTGAATCTTTGATTGTGAAGTAATATCGTTGCTTGAAGGGCTTGAAGCCTTGACTTGCTTCAGAGTTTTGAGAAGAAATAAAGAAGAAGTAAGATTATGTTGATTGCTCGTAGTGATTGGAATCGATGGATAAAACATAAAATAAGCAATCAAAAGATCAATAATACCGTTGCTCTGTAATGAATGCCCCATGCTTGCAGCGTAATCAGTGAAGAACCCAAACGTTTTTTTCCCCAAAATTTCTTCCCGCTCGGCCGCTCCTTTCTTGCTTGCGTGCAGTCGACGAATGAAAAGAATAACCTTTTTTTTTGTTTTGGGCCAT